AAGAATATGTTAGCTTCAGTTTGTAGTATTTCTGAAGCAATTCTTAACAAATATTCAAAACACCTTTTCACTCTTTTTTTTTTTTTGGCAGTCTAAAGCTAGAAAGTAAAAGCTTATCCAAATAGAGCCTTAATCTAGCTCCAAATTTTGCTGAGATTTCAATGTAGATGAAAACCCAATTCAAAATCAGGAATTAAATCCTTGAGGAGAACACAAAATCAAAATATAATGAAAACTCTAGAAAATAAATGAGAACTCAGTCTTATAACGCAAATCACACTTGTCCCCTAATAAAACATGCTTTAATCAATATAAAATCTGAATCCCTGAATACAATGGCCTCTCCTCAACATTAAACCAGCAACTACTGTGCAATATATGCAATTAGAGCAAAGCTAAACGGAAGAGGTGAAGAAGGTCTAGTAATGTCTCCTGTATAAAAAAAAAATAAGCAATAAAGAAGAAAAAAAAAAAAGATATCTAGAGTTCATAAAGGAATCATACATGGAATTGGATTCCTTTTTTATTTAAGCAATCTGGATGAGCAAGTAAAACACCATTGAACTTTAAATTTAGTTTCGTTAAAAGTTATAGTTCTCTTCGTTTCAATTTTTGATTCGACGCTCTGATTCTTCATCTTTTTTTGTCGAGCAAGTGTGCCCAATTAAAATGCTACTGGAGTCATTACAAACAAAAGATGTACTCCAGGCTCCAGGCTACAGCAACAAATGAAGGCAATCAATGATCCAAGACCAAGCGCGCATCTAGCTTGTCATATTTTTGGTCGACTCTCGGATCTCTCCGTAGCTGAAACACAAATACGTGCACAACTTATTGGACATCGTTTCTATCCGATTAGGACCCACCAGTTATCGAGCTCAGGTGGCAGGTGGCATTCATATACATACAAGGTGTTGGAAGAGCTAAACAGAGCACAGAATGTAAGACAAATATCATCTAGAATCGTGCGGATTTTAGGTGCAGCCAACGTCTAGACAAGAGTCGACGACTCAGCTCAGCTCTCTGCAGTCTGCACCACGAGACGGGTCACGACTCACGGGAGGTTAGCAAATTGGGCCCTGAGGCCACCAATGCGCAGAACAAGTTGAAGATGTGTACTATGCTCTATTTAGAGTTATTGGGGCCACCAGACCAGAAATAGGCAGCAGTATCCAACACATTATACAAGCACACACACATACACACACTAAAAGGGGGCCCTACCGCCTACTCTATAATATTTTCCTTGGAGTTGGAGGAACAGCAACAAAACACTACCTAAACAAGCAATTGTATTGAAGGCAACTTCATCAAAAATTTTGCATGAGATACTTTTTGGGGTATGTTAGGTTTGAAGGGAAAAGTAGGGAAAGAACGGGAAAGGTATCAAAACCTATACAAGGTTTGTAAATGTTTCTTTACCATTCCTTTCATTTCCCTACTTTTTCCTTCAAACCAAACATAGTCTAGGCTTTTGCCAGCACGACAGTAGGTCGAACAGGCACCCTTTTAAAGTTTAAACCATAACAACAACACCCAACCCAATGATAAAATGAAAATACAAGACAAAACACACCTGTACAGTAAGTAAGACGCATATGCAATGAGTTGAAATGAAAGCTACTAAGAAATGGGTGGAGTGGGTAGTGAGTCTAGTGACAGACGCTCCTGCGAGAGAACGATAATAGCGGTCCTCGAGCGACAAGGTAATGAATGACAAAATGCTCAGCGCAATCTCCAAACATGCAATTAATTAGAGAACTTAGAAGAGGAATAGGTAATTCATTTATCATATTTTGTCGCGCAAAGAGGGTTACTCGTCACCAGAACCACAATTCCAATCTACCCTTTTTTCTCTCATCAACCCAACTTTTCATTCACCCTGCTGCACTCCCACTGCGCGCTAGCCTACAAACAATGAAACAAAGCAGAGCCACTGTAAAACCGTTAATCTTTTGGTCTGGGCCTCGCTATAGTGAACGTGAACCTAATAGCAGTCAGCAGAGCTACCTACATACAGACTATAGTTGCTAACCTGTCAATCAAAAACACCAATCCCTCCCCTGCTAAGTGAAAACGCACAAAAACGCTGACACCATTACTCAGGTAACTTTTGCTTAGAAAACACTTGTCCAGTAAACTCGCTTAACCAGGTGAAAATGAACGGAGCCTTGGATTCGATGATTTAAAAAAAAAAACAGACCACATTTGCATACATCCTTGTTCACATCACATCTTATACCTCAGCGGCGGCCTAGCCCCCACCCCACACCACAAAAAATTGGAACCAAGCCTCTTAAGGAAAAACTGGCGCATCCTTTCTTCCTTTTTATTTTTCTGTTTAATAACAGGGATTCTACTATCATCACAAACAATGGAGTTGCATCCTCTACTTCTGTATTTGGCTACTACATCCTCTACTTCTTAGAGAATAGACAAGTTTCACTGGGTACAAACATCCACTAGGAAGAAAAATGACAATGCACACAAAACACGAATTGGATTCTTCCTCACCGACTCTATATACTACCATTAATACTTTCTTCCCTTCTATCTTAAACTTTTCACTCAATATATAATTTTCTCACTCGAACTCATTGGCTTACTGTTCAGTCTTACCTTTGCTTAATTCCTTTTATGTTTTACTCTCAATATGATTTTATAAGTTGTTCCATAAAACAATCTCCTATCGTTGCTGTATATTGCACTTTAAACAAGTTCAAATCCTAGAGTTCGCTTATGGTTTTTATTTTCTGTTTCCTCCACGTCTTTAATATTAAATTAAACTTATCATGTCTTTAACATTAAGTTAAATCTATGATGCTGAAAAGGTATGATTTAAATCTATTTGATATTTTCATTTCTCCTCTTATTTTTTTCAAGAACAATAACACATCAGATTAAAAAGGCCCACAACATATGTGCAGTACAGACGTCCTTGCATTCCCAAAAAAAATGCCAGCAAAACGACCAAACACGAACAACCAAATTCGTAGACTCCTGCCATGTTTCTTGATACAACAAATAAAATCGATGTCAGTGACGGGGGTAGATAATGACAAACACAGATCTTTAGAACCCCGACATGTAACCACTGATAGGCGAGACCCTAAATGCCTCGCCATCCATCAGATCACAGACTTGCTCATCGCTGTACGCTATCACTCAGCACCTTAGTAATAACTCTTTGCAAACGTTATTTCTCTTTTATTTTACTATTTCAAGGCAAATCGAATGACAGGTTATTGATCCATGAAACGCATTACTTTTTTATTTTTCTTCTTGGATTACTGTATAATGGTTACAAGTGTTTCTTTGTTTTCATTTAGGCTGGCTCTGGTTTGATAGAAAATAAGAGAAACAGAAAGTTGAGGGCAAGTTCTTATGGAATTTCACAAAGCTTCTCAAGAACTTTCCCTCAACTTTCTGTTTCTCTTTATTTTTCATCAAACCAAACATAGTATAGATTGTGCCATTGTGGTTTATATTCCTATAAATTAACAATCAAAAAGTAAAAATTTTATTATGCTTTCACGGTTTGGAACAAGATTTAGAAACAGCTGGACAGAAGTTATCACTGGATCCGTTGGGGCTCAGTTCAGGCATTGAACTGAATTGCCCTAATACTCAGAAACATTTCTTAAACCAGATAGTTCAATTCAAACCTTTGAACCATCTTAAGTTAAAAGTGGCCTAGATCCAAAAAATATTTCTTACCATTTTCACCCACACAATAGTATTTACTTCAAATTTTAATTTGTCAGAGAAAGATAGAGAACAATGATTCACAATTCATGAAGACAAAGGTTTTTTCCCCTTTTTTAGATCATAATAATGGACCAGTGAAAATCTTATGTAGTAGACAATAAGGCAAAGCGCAATTGAAGTTTACTACGATGGGATTTAGGAAGCTATAATCATAATTTCATAACTTGACATAGACAAACTAATCGAGAAAAAAAAATAAATCAATAGACACAATGGCAAGCCAAAAACAGTGCATCAAAAAATCATAATACACACCACTCTAGGATCTCTCTAATACTTCCAAAGGCCCAAAGTTAGAGAATATAGATAAAACTGGATGAAATGGAGATATAATCAAGCTTACAAAAAAAAATGTAGTAAAGATCAAGCCAAATGCTATTGCGCCATTTGTAGCTCAAGAAGGTTTAACAGTGGTATTAAGGTGTCAATACCATATGCAAGGTGCGTACCAGCTGGTTGGTAAGGTATCCTGCTGGTCGTAGCAGAGACTTGGGATCAAATCCCACCTGCACCTGAGTTGGGGGCTATGGATTGGTGGATGGGCTACCCCGTTGTGTAGCCCTTCAAAAGAAATAAAAAAAGGTGTCAATACCATATGACCAATGAGATTCATGTAAATACCATATGCCCAAAATGATATAGCTATTGGTATCAATATTTCATGTATCACAATATTCTTATTGACAGTAAATGAATTTATGGTAATTATCCTGAAAAAGACCACATTGGATATTGTAAAAGAGGACAAGGTCAATACTGCAGGAATCACCTCTGCAGAAAAACACAGCTGCACTCAACCTTGAATGCAGGACCACAAGCACACCACAACACTATTGCTAGACCATCCTTATCATCTCCAAAGATGGAAGCAGACAATGCCAAGAACCACACCACACACAACACAAGGAGAAACTTACAGGCCTAGTATCTACTATTATTCCACATTAAGACACCATGGTGTAACAGCAAAAATGCAATTTTTGTTTACTATAGCAAGAAGTACAAAAACCCTCAGCCCAAAGATAATTTAGATTCTCCCTTGTAACAAGGGAGTGATTAGTAGAATTGAAGCTTCCTATGGTAAGGGCATTATAGCTATAAATTACATAATGCCACAGCTCTAACACAGCATTTGAAGACCATCAACAAAGGCTCTCCTCAAAGGAGTTATCCAAACAAATGCTCAACTAAAATGATTAATCCCTTTTGGTAAATACTTTCATAACCATCCATTTAACAATTTAGCTCGCTGACAACCCAACACCCCATTGCCAGTTTGCCACTTCATGATCTTATTAGAAATTTAAGGAACCGGGCAGTATTTGGAATTCAGAGACAACTATATATTACACGAGAAATTGCATACCATAATGATAAATTACTGAAATGGATTATGACACACAATGACAAAGACTTTTAAACAAGGCAACATTCAGAGACTTAAAGTGAGAGAAATCTCCAACCAAATTCGTATAAGAATTTACTGACCTCAGATGATAATGCAATACAATGAAAAAAGTCAACTAGAATTAGTGACAGCATAAGGCCTAAGTTGTCCATCAGGCCCTCTCTGATTCTGCTTGTTGGCAGTAGCACCATAGTTTCCGGTGAAAGCTGATGCATCATCATCCAACTTTGCACCATCGATTCGAGGCCTTGTTGTACCAGCAGGCATCTGTGAATCGCCACCACCACTCTGATTCCACTTCCCATTAGCTTGGGGCCCCATGATCCCACGATAGCCGCCAGACGCCACACCCAAGACTCCACCAACTCCACCATTCACATAGCCAGGATAGATTGCAGCACTGCCATAAGGAACAGGACTCCGTCTAGCACCAACCATTGCTGGGCCACTCCAGGGACTCCTTGGGGCTCCAATTGGGGCTGCCCCATAACCAACTCCGCCAAATCCTCCAACAGGATATCCTCCTCCATATGTGCCTGCTCCATAAGGGTATCCGGCAGCACCCCCATACCCAGTGAGAGGGACAGGCGCATAGCCTGGGAAAACCCCATATCTGGGACTGTAAGGTGGGTAAACACCACATTGATAACTACCAAAGAGGGACCCTCTTCCACCACCAACTCTCATGTTGTAGCCGTGATAGTTGCTGTTACAATTGTTGGTGTTCCCATCTTTAGGAACTGCCCTCTTTACCTCTACAGTCTTATCGTTCAACTCATGAAAGCTCTTCTGCATCACACTCTCCACAGATTCCTCGGAGTCAAAGGTGATGAAACCGAAACCCCTAGGCCGGTGGGTTGTGCTGTCATACATGACAACCACATCGGTGATCCTACCAAACTTCTCAAAGTAGCTCTTGAATTCCTCCTCAGTTAGGCTAGCGGATAAACCCCCTACAAAAATCTTCTTAGTCCTAAATTGGTTGTTACCACCACCATTACTATTACCGTTCTTACCCGACCCTTTATTCTGCTGTTGGTGGGGATGGTGGTGTTGTTGGTGGTGCTGTTGATTTTGTTGTTGTTCACCTCTTGGTACGGCTTTTTTCACTTCTACCTATTAAAACACGATGAAATAGAAGAAGAAACCCAAAAATAAAACGTAGTAAGATTGAAAATTCATGATTTTCTTTGACGAGAAAGGATTTGGAAAGAAAAAAGAAAGATATATATAAAATGCAAGTGAAAATAGGAAAGATTATGAACGAGGCAGAAGTACTAACCGTTCTTCCTAGTATGACGTGCTTGTCTTGAAGGGCTTTATCAGCTGCGGATGGATCCGAGAACAGTACAAAACCAAACCCTCTCGCATTCCCAGTGTTCCGGTCTCTCATGATGACAGACTCCACAACATCTCCATACTTCTTGAAATGATCTTTGAGGGTATTCTCATTAGTTTCCCACGATATGCCTCCCACAAACAACTTCCCTTGATCAGAATCCATGGATACAAAAAGCAAAAACTCCAGAATCCAGAGAACCTCCAAAACCCTAAAAAACCTACGAAAAAGGAAAACCTAAAACTAGGATTACTTGAAGAAACCGAAGGAAAATACTTAGAAGAAGAGATACAAAAGATAAGTAGAGAAAAATAACCAAAAACTATAAAAAATAAAAAACGAAAAAGAGTAAACCGAGGGGTTTTTAGTTGAGTTTGAGTCAAAGTGATCAGAATCGAAGTAATGTTTGCTTTCCTTCTCTTTTTATTTGTTTTTCGGAGTGACGGACGGGATGACTTCTATCAAATATCAATGGTGAATGACAAAATACACGTCAGCTTCGTTTTTCTGAGCCGTTGATGTTGCAATATTATTTCTTCGTCAAAGAAATCCTTTTATTATTTATTTATTTTTTCTGTTAATACAATCGGAGTTTATTTGCTTTACACCGTACTTTTCTTGTGCGACTTTACTTCTATATTTTTATTTTTTATATTTATGTTTATTTTCTTTTATATATATATATATATATATATATATATTTTTTTTTTTTTTTTTTTTTTTCCGGGTCCAATACCAATGAGCAGGGAAGGGAAAAGCGATTGGGAGATTTGTTAGGGTTACGTTCACTTCCGACTCATGGCGCCGTACTTTAAAACGTAGGAATTGTATTGCTTTGAATAGATTTTAGGGTTTTGAATCTTGTTTCCATGACTTTGATCCCAATTATCACGAAAGCCATCCGATAGGAATATAAATTAAATGTTGGTCCCCACGATATCATTTACTCCTTCCAGGCGCTGGGATATTTCATTTTTGTACTTGATAATCGGTATTGAAAACAAACAAACAGATCTGACAAACCCAATAGATTTGTTACAAGTGCTAGAGATTGGACTCGGAACGCACCGGGTGTGCACTCGCTGCTGGGTCCCAGCTCCCAACTCGATAGTCGATACCTCTGATTTGATCCGACGGTTTTGAATTGCCATCACCCATCTAGGGTTCTAGATGAGAGACCACTTTAATGTCATAAACATTTTGTCGGTGGTGGGTCGTACACTTGGGTCCTAAGGATTTAATTTAATTCAAGCCCATTTAATTCACTTGCTTTCTCTTTGTTTTACGTACCAATTTTTACAGAATTTCTCTCATATTAGCCACAGTGGATAATTAATTAGTAATCGGAGATAAATCCAAAAAATTACAGATTATAAAAATCAAGGATGAAATTTTTTTGGTGTCGACTATCAAGATTTGCTACCGGTAGGCGTGGACACGAACTGAAATTTTCATGAATTATTTGAGTTCCGCAGCCTCCGCTTGTGAAAAGTTCCATCTGGCTCGATTTAAATCAAGTTTCCACTTGAGTTCAAGCACAATAAAATTTGAGAGTCTAATTCAATTATATTATATATAATATTTTAAATTTTTATGTATATAATTTTTAATTTTTATATGTATAATTATACATATTTTTTTATTTTTTATATAAAGTTTGGCCCAATGTTTTAAAATCCAAATCAGAACTGGAACTATTTTGGCTATCGGTTTCTAGGTTAATGGTTTGACCGCCTGGTCCGAATGGATGACCCGTTACAATTTTAAAAAATAAAAATTAATAGAATAGTTAAAATAAAAAAACGGCCAAAACTATTATCCATGTTGAATGGATCAACGGTTTGACTGCCTGAGTCAACAAATCATTGGCCAAGTCAACGGATTTTGACAAGATTTTGGTTCAAGGGTGAAACAGAACTGGTTGAATGAACGATTCCCATGCTGAACGGTCCGACCATGTGAGTCAACATTGGTTCGAAAACCATAGTTTAGCCCATTATTAAGCTAAAGCCCAATCAAATTTATATTATATCTAACATTTTTAATGTTAGATGTGTATAACGTAATAATAAACAATTTTTATATGTACAAGTTTTTACACGTACATCTTTTTATTTTTATATAAAACTTAGCCCGTTATCAAGGTTGAGACCAATGAAATTCGACTCATGAAACTCGTGAGACTAATTGAGTTTATATATATAATAATTTTTATATGTATCATTGTGAGAAATTGGATAACTATATGGCAATAGCGGGATCACAACACCTTATCACAAGCATGAAAGGCGAGTGACCTCACTAAGACTAACAACTTCCTTTTGAGGATCTCACACATCCATTAGAGATCGTGGTATCCTGTCGATTAGGTAAAATAAGTGTGGTTTCGTTAAACCTAGCGAGATCCTCATTATAAGAAATTCGTGAAGCCACTCTTTAAGTAACACTAGTGGGGACCTGTGCTGGGATTTATTAAGCGAAAGCTAAATAATATAAATAATTATTTACTAAAATACCCTTATAATTTAATGGATTTATTAAAATCTACCTTATAGTTAAAATTTTACTAAAACACCACTTATAATTTGTAATGAATTTAATCTATCTTCCATTAGATGACAGTGGAAAATGATAGTGTTGACCCTAATGTCATTTAAATAAATTTAATCAAAAGAAAATAAAAATAAAAATACCATTTTTTTCCCTTTATGAGACACGGACAACCACTCTATTGGATATATTTGGTTAATTTTGTTTTATATACAAAAAAAAAGTATTAAAAGTATTTTTGGAATAAAAAATTGTGGGCCTAATGGCAAAACAAACACTCCTTAATGAAAATGTTGATTAAGTAAATAAGTTGTAAAATATATGGGATATTTTAATAAAATGAAAACTATAAAGTAGGTTTAAGTAAATATGTAAAACTATAAGATGTGTTCTAGTAAATGACCCTAATAGAATCACATAAGAGTATACAATTGTTTTATATTTTCAAAATTTTAAATAGTTAATAATTATTCATATTTTATATATCACTTTTAATAAACTTTCTATAATAAAAAAATAACAATAATTAATTTCAGTTAGGTTTATTCATAAAACTGGTGAAACCGATCAGCTCAACCCGAGTTGGTCGATTCTCTAGTATTTTAGGTCGACTTTGGTTCAAATATCTCTCAATTCGACAAAGTTGGATCAATTTCACTTTGGCCACTTGTAAACCAACCAAAATCGAACGACCTAACCATGGATATATATTAATATTTTATATTTTAAATATAATTTTAACATGGAAAAATGGGAAATTTCCCATATTTTATAGTATAAAATGTTTTATATCATAAATCTAATTTTATAATAATTTCACTATAAATTTTAAAATTAAATTAAATTTTTAAGTTTAAAACTTTTGAATCGACTGGTCAAACAAAAAAATAGACCTAAACCGATACAACTTGAGTGAGTCAATTTTCACAAAAGGTTAGTCGGTTTCAGCTGACCAACTCCCCAACCTGACTAGGTCAATTTGGTTGGCCAAATAGCATACGACCAAAATGAACCAACTCATGAACACTCATAATTTTAGCTAAATTAATAGTCTTATCTCTAATAAATAATAATAGTTTAATCTTCAATAATTATTGAAAATTTATAACGAAAATACACAATTATTGAAAATACATTGATAATGAAAAAAATACAATAAGTACTAAAAATATATTAACTTAGTCAATAAATAATATAATCTCAAATAATAGTTTTATATCTAATAAATATTAATCAATAAGTTATAACAAAAATACAATAAGTACAATAAATTAAATTTAAAAATTTAAATAATAGTAGATTAATATCCAATAATTATTGAAAGTTTTATATTAAATAACAAAATAAAATAAATTTACACATATTCATTGAAAATACATTTATCACAAAAAACAATAAATAATTACTGAAATACAGTAAATATTACTTTTAGTATATATAATTATATAATAAATACAAATTAAGAGTTTAAAATTATTCTTAATAAACATTATTTTTTGAAAGTTATTTTCTCGAATTATTACTTGTTATAAGTGAAATTAGTTATTTACAATATTATGTAAAAATATTAAATTATTATCAATTTCAATATTATGTTATAATTATTTTTCTACTTTTTAGATTTTTTTTAAATTTATTACATAATTTCTTTATTTTAACTATTTAAAATCTAGTTATGTTAAATATTTTTTTATTTAAAATACCTGATTATTTAAATACTCAGATAATATGTAAAATATTTAAAATTTAAAATATTTTTTATTTATTGAATTTAGTTATCCATAAAATCATAATATATACTATTATTACATAATTTAATTATTAATTTTGTAATATATTAAATTATTATTAATTTCAATATTACGTTATAATTATTTTTCTGCTTTAAAGAAAATTTTTAAATTTATTACATAATTTCGTTATTTTAAATATTTAAAATATAATTATGATAAATATATAGTTAATTAAATATTTAAATAATCTATAAAATACTTAAAGTTTTTTATTTGAATTTTATTTATTTAAATCTATTACGTGTTATTAAATATTTGAGATCCGGAAAAACACAATTTAAATTGTTAGTACTTAATTTTGTGATATATTTTGTAAAAATATAAAACTATTTATTAGATAATTTCATTATTTTAACTATTTAAAATATAGTTATGATAAATATAGTTATTTAAATATTTAAATAATCTATAAAATATTTAATATTTGCATTTAAAGCTATTATATATTATTAGATATTTGTAAAACATTTAAATTGATAATCCGCAAAAACATATTTTAAATTGTTAGTACATATTTTCGTGATATATTTTGTAAGAATGTAAAATTGTTTTTTGTGTTTTTAATAAATATTTTAAAATTATTATATAATTTTATTAGAATATTTAAATAATTTTTAAATTTTTTAATCCAAACTTTCTTTAGATAGATATAAATAAAAAGTTGGGGATAGGATAAATAGGAATTGGAGATAATTTAGCAGAGAAACTCTTTACTAAATTAGAGATAATTTTGGAGATAAATATGAATTAGAGATAATTTAGAAGATAAATAGGAATTAGAGATAATTCTGTAAAAAGTGAGAAAGTTAATTTAGGATAAATTTTAGAAGAAGAGATTGTTTAGCTTATTGGGAAACTACATATCATTAGTTGTTTCAAAAATGACATAAAATTAGTTAAAATTTGCAAACCACTCTTTGGTGTTTGATCATGGTCATAAGATTCAACAAGACTTAAGGCACGTGGGTCCCCCAAATTTAGAACCCATTATCCTTTTCAGTGAATTAATAGGGATTCTTCCATTTATAAAGTGTCTCCTTCGATCATTTTGGAAGCTTTTTAA